CTGGCTACTTATGTAGAGATTTTTTGTAAGTATTGAGTCAGTCTTAAAAGCCTATGGTTATTAGCATCTGTAAGACTGTATAGCACTATTCAGGTTAATTGCTTGTATTACCACCACCACCAAAGGTGGATGGAGGTTATGTTTCACCCCTGTGTGTGTGTGTGTGTGTGTGTGTTTGTTTACCAGGTAGATTTCTCTCGAAAGGCTGAATGGATTTGTACAAAAGTTGGTATACACTTGAACTATGATCCAACTTAGAAGTGATCAGTTTTGGGAGAGTTAAGGTCAAAGTTCAAGGTCATGAATATTAAAAATTCCCTATCTGTTAAAATGAGGACCGATTTTTCACACCATTTTTGCTCTATAACTCAGTCAAAAAATGATCGGATTTTGATGAAACGTAGTGGACTTATGTAGAATATTATTCTTCATTGTCGTGCCTAACATGGTCCGTGTTCGTCGAGAACGACGGATATACGAACACTTTTTCGTAGTTTTCGAGAGTCGAATATGATCAATGCTGCGTGGTGGAGGTATGTCCTCTACCGAGTCACCCTTTAGTTCAAACATGAATTCATACAGCTGACAGGAATTCGACATTTAGTTGTAGGTAAAAGTTATTCTTGGTAATATTTGGCTATTTATGTAATGATTTTGTATGTTTTTGTGTATTCATTCCTTCCTTGTCTCTGTACTTTTTTGGCAATGTCATCTTTACATCATATTTAATTTCAGCAAAATTTTTTATAACTTGTTTCCCCACTTTTTAAAAACAATTTCATTGAAGTCGGTTGATAAATGAACATTTGTTTTATTTTTTATAATTCAATGGTATATATATATATATATATTGTTAATATCATATCAGTTTTGTCAGTTTCTCTAATTTTGAATTACATTTGGGCCCAGTGAAGCTGGAATGGTTCCTTCAGGATGGTACAAGTACTCTGGTGCGCTGAACCGACGTTTAGGGGATATTTACCTAACCCACGCCTTTCAACTTCACCCCAACTCATTACACGTGTATAAAATCGACTCCACAAAATGCTGTGGGTCATCTCGATTAATAGGGAAGACATCATACAAATCCCAGGTGATGAAGATTAATACTACGTATACACACAGAACTGTCAAGTCAGTTTCACTGAAAGTAAAGAAAGTAGACAACCGTTTTATAATATATTGTTTTGATAATTAAAAAGCGATTTTTTAAAACTCAGTTATCAAAAACCTGTACACAGATATTGTCAGTTGCATAAATACTTTATCTCTTTGATATCTTGAATATTAATTTAGATTATTCTTTCTTTATTTCTTTATTTTTACTTAAATTGTTTTGGTAGATATCATGTTTGTGCAATGAAAAGTCACAAGCAGTCGTTATACAAGAACAATTTGTGTTGTCATCTAGCGACTAGAAATAAAACGGTTATTTATGAAATATGGAAATAATACAAGCTTATAAACAGAGCTCATAGCTAAGTAGTAATTTTCCTTTTGCATTATTTCCCCACAAAAATACGTGTAGTAGAAGAACAGAATAATATTACTGTTATACAAGTTGTGAAACACTTGATAATAGCAATTAGGTGCTCAAATAAGGCTATAACTCAACTTGAGCAGTTATTTATAAGCATCATAGAGTAATAGATTGAATGCAGCAGCCATTATTTTCTTGGCCCATCCCTACACAATGCGCTTAATGATAGCTTGTTCCCAAGTGCTCTTAAAATGCTTTTCAGTCGTACTAAAGCTATTGGAAAAACTTAATTATTTTTTGGCAAGCACGGGGGAAGTGAAAAGAAAGATGAACACTTTTGCTCTTTAGCTAGTTCCCATTTCTCCACTTTAGCAACTCTTTTCAATAATATTGGAAGTCTGACAAGCTTTGAAACACTTGATAATGGCAATTAGGTGCTCAAATAAGGCTATAACGTAACTTTAGCAGCTATTTGTAAGCATCATAGAGCAATAGGTTGAATGTGGCAGCCATTTTTTCGGCTCATCCGTACATACTAAGCACTACTGCACTTAGTGATAATACACACACACACACACACACACACACACAAACTGAACAGTTAAAAATACTTCTTAGAGTATCAGCTAAGAAAAACAAATAAAAAATAAAAATTTTTGGATTGCTTGAATTTTTAAGTAATTGATATTAAAGTTTTGAGCAAGGTTAATATTGTTTGACTAAATAATATGATAAATATTTAAATCAATAAGAATATAGGTATACTGATTATTTGCTACGGTTATTAAATGCGTTTAAAAAGTCATTGATGTAATTGTCAAACAAGTCTAGCGTGATAACAATTAAAATTTTTGCCCAAAAGTCACACTAAGTATTTTGCTAGTCGTCTCAATTTTGGAAGTGATAGACTAGGGGGGTAGGCAACTATATCACAAAAAAATGGGATTTAACAGTCAAACAAGGTGTATTTTACTTGGCTAGCTTTACGCCTTTCGACGAATTTTAATACAATTTTGAGTAATTTTGAATACGAAGTAACGTAGTTTTTATAACTCAAAACTATTTATTACTAGCGTATATCTCGTAAAAATGGCGAGGTAAGTACTACCACCCCCATCCCATAGTATATCCTAACCTAACATTTCATAGCTAATTGAAATAAATAAATTTTGCGAAAGGCAGACAAGTGCAGTCGAGGCAGTCAAACACCGATAAGTTTCTTTGTGAGCCAATCAAAATTAAGATCATTCATGAAATGAATTCGTGGCATATTCATAGAATAATTATTGGCAAAAATCAGTTACATTAACAACTTCTAATATATATATATATAAGCCAGTGCGTTTTGGTAACACTACGTTTCAACAATGGCTTTTATGTTATGTTGCTAGCAACAAAAATATAACCTAATATTGTTGTTAGTCTATGTACTGAAAGTATAAAATGAAATTTAATATACAACAAAACTGGAAAAATATTTGTTGATTTCATAATTTAGAGTCTCCGTTGATTAAAGAGATTTGTTTTGTATTCAAAAGGTTGGTGATATAACAGAAAATATAGCTTAATTCATGATAAATTTTATGCACTTGGCTCTAGGCTAGTTGATCCCACACAACATCTTTACTTTATGTTTATTATAACAACATTCACTACACTTATAAGGTTTCACGGCACCACCACCTCTCACGGCCCCTTGCACCCCCGTCACTAAAATCGTAATGGGCAGACAGTAATCGAACTATTCTATCTAGATAAATCAAGCGTGGAGATAAAAAGACGTACTGACTTTCAGAAACGGCTGCTTAAGTTTAAACCGATGCGTTTGAATCTTACAAACTATGTTAATCTTTATTGTCGGTATTTAACTTTCATACACTCTTATGAGACACAGAAGTGGGCACAATAGTACTACCATGTCTGGAATTAAAAGTTGTTGTTTTAGCGCAGAGCTTCTCTCAATGGGCTATCTGCGTTCTGTCCACTGCGAGCTTCCCCAGTGGCTTATACCACTAACAATCGAAATTTCCCCCAGTGGCACAGCGGTATGTCTGCGGACTTGCAACGCTAGAAAACCGGTTTCGATACCCGTGGTGGGTAGAGCACAGATAACACATTGTGTAACTTTGTGCTTAACTTAAAAACAAACAAACAAACAATCGAATTACAATACTCTATTGTGTAGTTTTGCGCTTAACAACAAACATACGAACAACAATCAGCTACCCAGGTTTTAGCATTACAAATCAGCAGCCTTACCACTGATACTAGAATTAAAGAAATAAATTGGACAAGTACAAGTTTTTTTTCAATTTCCAAAGCAACAGGTTCGGTACGGCCAAAAAAAACTAGACATAGGAAATTCTAATATTTGAACTAAAAGCATAAAGACTGATAGAAGCCGTGCTGTTGTTAAAATACATTAAAATATACGAGAAATATATGCATTCATTGAACCAGATAAGATAATGATGTGTAAACATTGTACTGTTGTACCTCGATCAATTTGGCATGCCTAACATGAAGGTTTTTAAAGGCTGGTCGTCTCACCACCAGTTTCGTAATACAAATAGCAGCTTACAAACGACAAAAGTTACACTCATAAAACCATGCTTTCAAATTTAGTCGAACCTGAAGATTATGGAAGAAGAAGATGTGAAGCGTTCATAGTTTGATCTCCCCATCATTCGTCAGATAAGGTCAATGTCTATTTCTTGCGTCAATGAAGTAATATCCCAAAATATTTTGATAAAACCAGGATTAGTAATTCCTCGAGGTGACGTTTGGAACACGAATAACTAAACCAAATTAAAGTATGCCCGGGATTTCTTTCGTTCGCATTTTTGTTGCAATCAACAATAATATCCATGTAACAGCTTGAACAGTATAGCTCTAAAGAATATAATAAGATGTGTCTTATGTATTACTGATATTAAATATCTATAGAGCATTTTGGATTTGTGTTGTTTATTTCCTTCTACATTTTCACTTGAAATGTTCATGTCTGTGAACAGCGACTATTTAAAAATAATTATCACTTCCGATTTTTAAAATTCTCTGTCATTGTAGAGTTTTTATTTTATGTTTGTAAGGATATTATTAAGGAAAGAAAAGTTTTATTTCAGAGTTTCTTACTGTTCATAAATTCTCAGCAAAAATGGCGAATCTAATGTTTAAAAACTTTTCCTTTGATGATTATGACATATAGTTGAGTGCACGTGACATTAGAGGAAGCTTTTAGTGACCCAGTGTCCGGGAAAACGGAGAAAGTGGCTGACCCTGATTTAGTCAACCACGGCATCAACTCTATCCGGAAAGGAAATACTGGCCAGTGTGTTGTTCAGACTAAGAGCCACAGGAACTACACTGCCTGAGTGGAGAGTATTGTTGTCATGGGCAACACAATGTTAAAAGACAAATACTAACACAAACGATTATACATTTCATGTAAAAGATGCCCTTGAATAACTAAACACACGTGACACTGAACACTGGCCTTATTTAAAAAGTTTTTACTTACCGAGTACCTGTACAAGTAGCAGACGACGCAGACCTTTCAAGCCAATTTCGTCTTTTGATAAACTTGAACATTTGCTCCATATTCTTCCATATAAAATACTTCAGTGTTTTTTGTATTTCTACGACAAATAAACGGTAGAAATCTCAGTCTGGAACTTAGCAACTGCGTGATCTACAGAACGGTAATGTGACTGTATTGTATGTGTAGATATGCTTACAATAAACTAGAAGGAGAACACTGATAACGAAAGTGGATTTTGACCAATACATTGTTACGAAAAGATACGATTTATGTCATCACATTAGCATTGATAACATTTTTTGTTATCAGGTTCATACATTCTAAACCATAAACCGCAAAAAAATGCTGAATGGTTCTAGGGGCATTGCAATAATAGTAATATAAAAAGGAAGGTGGGGGGGGGGTCTGATGGAAGGTATGATAAAACCACTAAAAATTGATATGGTAGGAATTTTTCTGTTTGATTATAAGTTTCGCATAAACCTATATACATGGATTATTTGCAAATAGCTATTCCTCATCTAAACTCATGATATCCAAAAGCATGCAGGATGAAAGGGATAAAAACATGTTAGGATCATAAAAGAAACCCAATAATCCGAGCGCTTTCGGGATACGGACTTTCCATCGTTAGAGGTAAACCAAAAGCGCTCAGGCTACTGGGCTTCTTTTATGACCCTAAATTTTAACTAACAGACTAGAACCCACCACCAACTTGACTACTTTTAGTCTGCCAGCATAACAGGGTTTGATTGTCACTCTTAGAACACATCCACGGAGTACAAAGTGTATCTTTGCGGCAATGAGCATAAACCACGAGCTCTCAGATGCAGTTCTGGTACAGTAATCAAACCCTAAATATGATTAACTGAACAAATCTCATTCTATTAAATTTCTAATATTTTGATTTATATCTCTATAAAGTTCATATAACTTTTGACAAATTTGTCACCTTCAATTTCTAAGGGTTTAAATAGTTTTGCTACACTATATATATTTATTGTACCATTGATAACCTCTATTATTTTGCTAGGAACACATCTGTTTTAGGTTTTAGTATTACACAGAGTTGTGAATGGGAATACAACCTAATCTATTTAATACAGATGATTTGGTCAGTTTTTTTTTTATTCTTCTTCTTTTTTTTTTTTTTACAAAAATCATAAAGTTCTCGTCTGTCAGGCTTTGCAAGGTTAGATTAGTTCTGTTTTTCACCATGAGGCAAATAACATTAAAAACTTCGGTTTCAGAATAAATTATTTTGAAAACTTTGGTCTCACGATCATTAGTTTGTATTTACATATAATTATAACAGTTTCATTTTCGTCAGGTAGCAAACTGTTTTATTCTTATTCTGAATAATGGGTTTTTCACAAAATTATTCATCGTGATTGCGTAGTAATTTTTAAAGATATTCTTTTTTGTTGTAAAGAATTATTTATGTATTTCTCTTTTATTGTAGTTATCTCTTAGTTACAAGGTTTTCTTCTGTTACATTTTAGTTTACCATATTGGTACATACTGGTAATCAAATTTCCTCTTCTTAAAATCCGTAAACCAAGGCATGGTTGCTTACTCACTTCCGTTTGTAACTACACCACAAAATTAATTTCATTTTTCCTTGATGATTGTTTTATCACTTCCTATTTACATATGCACTACAAATTTTCGGTTTTTTGGTAGTGAAATAGTGTTTACTATGGAAGATTCTCTATCCATCAACCTTCCACGACGAAGGCATGAAAACCCTCAGATACTACTTCGGACCACTTTTACCTCTTATCTAATTTGTATTAACCATTAACAGGTACTATTTTAATGGTGAGTGTTACCAACAAATAAAGGTGTCGCTACTGGCACCAAAATGAGCCCTTCTTATATTTCATTATTTGTTGGCTATACAGAAAATTGGTTATTTTCCCCATCTATCAAGGAACACTTTCAACCATTGACAACTGCTATATTGATAACATTTTTGGTGAGGCTAATTTACCATTAAGTAAAATGAAACTTCTCGCCGGTGAGGAAATCATCTACGTGAACATCTCTTTTATGTACGAAATAATAGCACAACGAAACCCACGAGTACATACTTCAATAATACTTCACTTCACATTACCAACTTTTCTATACTCGGCCCTAAGTTTGCTGGAAATGTGTGGAAAGAGTTTGATTTTTCATTTAAGTACTACAACCTCTTGGTATGAATGAAGAATTCTCACTCCTTTAACTTCTCCATCTTTCCTCTTTTCTTGATACCCGATTTATATCTTCTCATAACGATCTGTTTTACTTAACATTTTGTTGAAAGTACAAGTTTTTCTCGTTCACTAGCTCGACCAAATAAGATTGTTTATTATATCAAGCCATTTTCTTAATCACATTTATTGCCTATATATTTGTTTAACAAGTCATTTCTCAAATCCAATCTTTTTTTCAAGGTTTTATGCTTAAATAATCTATAAGTTTTATTTTAATTCCCATACCTTTCATGGCTGTGGTAAAAGAACCAAACTTTTATTAAGACTAAGCTTTCATGTTGATTACAGCCCTCATTCAGAAGCATAAAAAAGTATTAAATGAGCGTTGCAAATGTGAACTTCTTAGATGTCAGGAGGTATACTCCCTCCCTCGGGAAAATTCTAATGCTCAGGGGTGCGTTCTGGTGCATTTCTGATAAAGATTTGATAAATATTTAAAGCTCTTACATCCATTTATACTTTTTGTTTCCCATGTGTTTAGCAAGTAATATAAAATTAAAACTCAATTTTTTGTTTTTGAAGAACTGTAATCAGACTGAAAGCTTAGGCTTGATAAAGTTTTATTCTTTTATTATTGCCACTTTGCTTAAGCTGTGTCTTTGAATCGTAATGTTGAGTTATTTCTGTATTTTTGTTATTTTTTCCTTACTTTCCATTGTTTAATCTCGCGGGGCAATATTATTCGATGCACACTCTCATTTTCCCCTTGTTTGCATATCTAACCAGTTTGTTGCCTTTATTCATGTTTTACTTATTTATTTATTTACATATTTTTAATGTGTAATTACTGTCTTTGTATGACTTTTATATCATCTAACATTATTCAATTAGTTAATAATCTTTTACTTCTCACATATTTCTTTGTTGTATTGTTGCTTAAGAATAAGCTCTCAAGTCCCTTGTTCTTTTTTTTCTTATCCATTGTTTTAACTGTTTATTAAACCTTATTTCTTATGAAAGGCCTGTCCCCCAGTGGGTCAGTGGTAGGTTTACAGGCTTACAACTAGCTGATATAGCCTATTGTGTACTTTTGCGCTAAACTAAATAAACCAATACAAGACCCCCAGCAGTGGGTAAAGCGCAGGTAGATTGTGTAGCTTTGCGCTTAAAAAACAACAAAAAAAAACGTTTATTCTCACTGGAGGGCCGTTGCCCGAAACATTTTTTGTTTCTCAAATTTGCCAATAAACTTATTTTAATTTGGATAGTGTTTCATCTTGTTATATTTTTCTCCATATTGCTGCATACTTTACGCTTCTTAATATGTGTTTTTAATCATACTGTGCTTAAGATTGTATTGTTGTAAGTTATGCCACCAAAATAATGCTGTTACATGCCCCCCGTGATTCTCGTCGTAGATTTTAGTTTATCACTTTTAAAACAGATTTATTTTCTTATCACCAAATGTAAAATTGAAAATATAATCTGTAACGTAGAAGCCTAATGCATTTCTTTGATTCGCCGCATCCTCTGCTATGAAGAGCAGTTTCGCCTATTCATGGTTCATCAGCATAGCTTGGATCAACAAATTAAAGAAAGCAATCATGAATAGGCAAGAAATAAGCCAGTTTCTATGTTGTAATTTGTCCGTTTGCTAGAGAAAACTTGTGATTTTAATGATCGACAGGCTTTCCAAAATATTTAGTAACAAGGATACAGACACAAATACGAGTATATATTTTTAATTCAGGGATAATGAATAGTTAAGGAGTATTTTAGTGAGAGTTATCTCATTTGTTCTGTTATTCAGTTACTTAGTGATTTGCGTGTTTAATTACCAAAAAGCTACTTATTAAGTTAAGTTTGGCGTATGTTTGGCATTTTATATTGAAATGCTATACTTGAGGTTACACCTACATTTAGTTTTGAAATGTTTGTACAATTAAGCCCACAATTTATAAGTGAACGTGACTGTAAAAGTTTTCAGAGGAAATATGAAGAAATAAAATAATATGATTTTGTTACGTAGACTGGATTTCGCATTATTTAAATATATTTTCACCAACTAATCTAAAAGAACCCACTGAACGATAGAAGTGATAGAACACCTTACAAGAATATTTTACACACACACTAAATGGACGTAGTGTGTATGTCAGTATCTATGTATATAACCAAAACTCCTGCACCATCTACTGAGTGGCACCATAAAAAAATATCCTTAAAATATTCACGCTTTAGGTATTCAAGATTCAGACAATTAGAAAAATAACTGTGGTATATGCAACAACCATTTCTTTATAATAGAACACAATTTTAAATAATAGTACTCTCCTCACAAGAAGAACACGACTTTCACTAGGACAGTACGTGAGTGTTTGATTATATCTTCATTAGTGTAATTTTTATATGTAGTACTGATCGAGAAACTGGAATTCTTAAAAAAAAACTATTTTTATTCAATAAACAGTACCACTTTTAAAAATATAAGAACATTACAGTTTACATCAGTAAAATTTATGAAAATCTTGAATTCTGTACATTGAATCATTTAGATGCAATGAACTGCGTATGACTAAAGAGCACAATATGAACACTGTTACCGTGTAGTAACTTCCCAGAAAAAAAATCCTTTTTTAGAAATGTTCACTTTTTCTACATTTTTTTTTAAATCAAAGAGGCATGAATACTACAATTAGTAATTACTAGCACAAACAGCCGCCCGTATGGCGACGTTTCTGCTAGTCTATTTAATTTGAAGTAAGCTCAAACCCCAAACGACACAAAATAAATATCTGTGGATGTCTAAGAGCTTCATCATTTGCAACCACACGCTAACATAGTATGACAACAAATAGCCCTTATATCTTGAAAAATAACAAACAAACAAATAAATAAGACAATTGGTTTATACTATTATTCTCACCTGATCACAACACTCTTTTAATAACGAATGTTATATTAGAACGCAAAAATTA